GCCTGTCGACTTGCTACAAGACCGACGTGCAATGTGATTGAACAATTGGTGAGATTTTACACTAAATGCCTGAAGGATTCATTCTGTTTACTTGACCAACAGCTAGGTCTGTGTTCCATCCTCAACCGCATAAGGACACGTTCATTCAACTTCTGAACAGCAATGTGATTCCATTATAAATGCTTAATACAAACTACTTTTCAATTGCATGGGTTTTAGTTTACCATTGATTTTCTATTTATTTTGCAAAAGTTAAAAAGTGTTGATTTAGTACGTGGTAAAAAGAATTTATGGGAGCGGATCTGTACTGCTCCTTCGATCCTCTCTCCTCCCTCTCCAAAGGCCACAGCTAATTGAAGTTTAGTTTTCTAATAAACATAATGAACCTCTGCTCTTATAGAATGGTTCGATCGTTTTCAGCTGCGGTCAGATTTAACATTTAGAAAGCAAATATTTCCTACAAACTTCAATGCAATTCTTTCGAAATGAAGAAGTGCCTATACTAGAACTGGGGTTAAAAGTGAGTGGTTTTAAACAGATGAAGTGTAGTTGAAGGTATTTGTGCGTACTACGCGGTTGATTTCGACTTGGTTGGTAAATAAAGGCTTCCTCTTCGTTAAATTTGGAGCATAACAACTAATTTGCCACAGACTATGCCAACCAAAACCGGACTGCTTGCTAGGTTTAGGATACAAATTTAAAATCGGACTCATTAAGACGAACTGACACTGGATTGGAATGTTGAGCACTGATGGAATGGCACAAACTCAGAACAGAACAGGCTTCAGCGACCATCCTCTTCTGGCCGATGATGCTGCTTAGCTTTTTTTGAGTCGAAGTTAGGTCGCATATAAGCTTTTCTTTAAAAGTTTCAAATAAAATAAATGGATTGAACAATAACTTGACCGCAAACCTCTTGACTATTGGAGGACTGCTTATGTTAAATACATGCAAAATCATTGTGCTTGGCTCCCATAGTGCATAACATTTTTGCCAGTGTCCTGAATCTTTCACACCATTGGAGTACCTTCGACTCGTCAATGTGCGATAAAGCACTCCCTCTATGCACCCTAAAATAAGAGAAGCAATGAACGGTATAGAGTTATGTTTTTACAACTTTGCATTAAGCAACTCAGTACGTTTTGTGATCGTAACAGTCTGCCTTGTACCGCCTCTCGTAGTCCCTTTGATATGAGTGGCAGTTTTACTTTACATTATAGTAATCAAACGGAAGGACATGCCTACTACTTATGTTTTGCGAGTGGGAAGCTTAAACTAACTGCAAATATAAAGGGACTGTTACGCTCACCAAATGGTGCACTTTCAAATGGCTTCAACCCCTCTTGCAACGGAACTGTTCCCGAAGAAGCAACTTCGGACATGCCCGGAATCTTTACTAAGATATTCAGTCGTTTTAGATTCTCCATCATTTGTTGCTCCATAACTGCCTCCCATTCTGGATCAGATTCCTCAAGTTGTGTCTAAAGAGAACTCATCCCTTAAGCTTCATTGCTCTTGTGATAGAACTACTTCATAGAGCTTAAAAGGTACCTACTATTTGAAAATTGGCTAGACGTTGACACTTCTCCTCTTGAAGTGCAACGACTTGCGCGAACTTCCGATGTTCTTCCGTCAAAAACATGGTCTCCTCTAGGTTAGAACCAAAACCATTTCCATATTTGCGTTCCTCCATTGAGCTGAGCCAGCGTTCGAGACTGTTAAGGTCCCTGAAGCATGGTTTATATAAATATGACAAAACTCTATTGAATCGTATGTAGGAAAGGATAGTCTAGAAAATATGTTGGTAAGTCATTAAGTTGCTATAAAGAGTTAAGAGAGAGTAAAATAAAATCGCTTTTCTCTATCCGCTTAAAGTTACGAGGTTAGGAAGCAGACCACTTCCTCCATATCAGTCTAATCGCCTTTTGACAACTTAGATGTGGCGCTTCACAGAACCTGTTGCGTTTATTCACCTTTTCTTGCGGTTTTTTAAACCCAATAAGGGGAAACGACAAAGCCGAAGAGGAATGACAAAGTCCTCTTCTTATTTTACACTTAGATCTTTTATCAGTCAAAGACAAGGTTGTCATTTTTGCTTAAATCAACACCGAAGTGAGGTGATTACCTAAAGGATGCCAAAGACAGTAGAGACTAGAAGGAAGAGGAGAAAAAAACGGTTCTTGTGAGTGGCAGAAGTAGAAAAGAAACTCCTAATTTCATATAACAAAGAAAACGACTTCACTTCCTACCTTAGGAAGTCCAACTTT